AGCATTAGAAGCAGGAGAAGTGTGAACTAGATTGCTACGAAGTGTTAGTTTGTCGAAAGGCGAGCTTTATGTCAAGAGGACGAAAGGTATTGGTAAAAGTTTTGAGTTCAGATATGAAGGGAAGGCAGAGCACAGTGTCACTAGTGTTAGAAGCAGGTTTAGGGTGAAAGAAATTTCGTTTAGCTTGAGAATAGGTACAGTTGATAAAATGCAAAAGGGAACCAAGGCGAGAGAATGATTTGTAGATAAAGGCAATTTCAGAATCAAGAAACAGAGGGTTGCTGATTCGTAGATCGCGGAGATAGAGAGAGACGAGGACACTTTTCTTAACAGAAGGAGGATGGTAGGAAAAGAAGTGAATGTACATGCCACTAAGCATGCGTTTACGGTAGACAGAGAAAGAGAATCCGGACACAGAGCTGTGAACGTGAACGTCAAGAAAAGGAAGGAGGGAATTAGATTCCCATTCAACTTTGAAATGGATAGAAGGAGCCAGATTGTTAAGAGAGAGGAGAGGAAAGGCTGGAAAAGACTAAGGTCATGAGGCCATAAAGCAAAAATGTCATCAACATAGCGAAGCCAGAGAGAGGGACGAGTATCAATAGAAGGAAGAAGAACAGTTTCGAAGTATTCCATGTAAAAATTAGCAAGAACAGGAGAGAGGGGAACCCATAGCGACACCGAAAGTTTGAGTGTAATATTTACCGTTGAAAGAGAAAGAGTTAGAGTCAACACAGAGTCTAATAAGTTCGAGGAAAACGTCAGTGGGAAGCAGGAGAGGAAGAAGGCCCTCAGTCGCCTTCTGTCTAAGGAAAGAGAGAACGTCATCGAGCGGAACATTAGTGAACAGAGAGTCGACATCAAGACTAAGCATCTTACAAGAGGGTTGCAGGCGCAGACTTTATATGAAGTCCTGAGAGGGACGAAGGTGGGCAGGGGAAAAAGTGCCAAGGTAAGGCGTCAGAGTTTTAGCGAGCCAGGAGGCAAGAGGACAGCTGACAGAGCCCCGTGAAGAAATGATAGGACGAAGAGGAACACCAGGTTTATGAGTCTTAGGAAGACCATAGAAATAAGGAAGAGAAGGGCAGATGACACGGAAACGTTTAATGAGATCGACGTCAGGAGGACAAAGACTAGAGAGCTGTCTTAGTTTGAGGTTAAAGGAAGTTTTGAGTCGATCCAAAGGGTTAGAAGTCAGAGGGGCATATGTGCGGGAGTCAGAGAGCAAGACATCAGCTTTCTGGAGGTAGTCCTCACGGTCAAGGACAACCATCGAATTGCCTTTGTCGGAAGGAAGGATAAGAATAGAGTTGCTAGATTTCAGGGAGGCAAGGGCAAGCTGGAAGCGACGAGGAAGGTGGTGACTTTTAGAAAACAAGCTGTCAAGAACGGGGATAAGGACCCCCCTCTAAAGGCAGACAGGTCCGAAAGAGTACTAGTGTTAGCATTGACAAACTTGTCAAAGAAACTAATGAGGGCAATGCCGCAGCGAGGGTCAAGGGAAGTAGCAAAAGAAAGATCAAGGCCAAGAAGTTCTTGATGGTGCTTAGAGAGAGGGGGAAGATGAGAGGTTGGCAACACAGTCAGAGAGAGAGAGAGAGAGTATTTGGCCCAAGGTCTGTTGGAAATCTGGCGTTGAAGTTTGTTGTGTAGTATGGAGGAGTGGTGGGCAGAGGACCTCTCCTCTTCCCACCACTTCCTCAAGTGGTGGGGGAGAGTGCTCTCACTCTCGCGGTGGGGGAGAGTGCTCTTTCTCTCGTGGTGGGGAGAGTGCTCTTACTCTCGCGGTGGGGGAGAGTGCTCTCACTCTCGTGGTGGGGGAGAGTGCTCTTACTCTCGTGGTGGGGGAGAGTGCTCTTACTCTCGTGGTGGGGAGAGTGCTCTCACTCTCGTGGTAGGGGAGAGTGCTCTTACTCTCGTGGTGGGGGAGAGTGCTCTTACTCTCGTGGTGGGGAGAGTGCTCTCACTCTCGTGGTAGGGGAGAGTGCTCTCACTCTCGTGGTGGGGGAGAGTGCTCTTACTCTCGTGGTGGGGGAGAGTGCTCTTACTCTCGTGGTGGGGGAGAGTGCTCTTACTCTCGTGGTGGGGAGAGTGCTCTCACTCTCGTGGTGGGGGAGAGTGCTCTTACTCTCGTGGTGGGGGAGAGTGCTCTTACTCTCGTGGTGGGGAGAGTGCTCTCACTCTCGTGGTGGGGGAGAGTGCTCTTACTCTCGTGGTGGGGAGAGTGCTCTCACTCTCGCGGTGGGGGAGAGTGCTCTCACTCTCGTGGTGGGGAGAGTGCTCTCACTCTCGCGGTGGGGGAGAGTGCTCTCACTCTCGCGGTGGGGGAGAGTGCTCTTACTCTCGTGGTGGGGGAGAGTGCTCTCACTCTCGTGGTGGGGAGAGTGCTCTTACTCTCGTGGTGGGGGAGAGTGCTCTCACTCTCGTGGTGGGGAGAGTGCTCTTACTCTCGTGGTGGGGGAGAGTGCTCTCACTCTCGTGGTGGGGAGAGTGCTCTTACTCTCGTGGTGGGGAGAGTGCTCTCACTCTCGTGGTGGGGGAGAGTGCTCTTACTCTCGTGGTGGGGGAGAGTGCTCTTACTCTCGCGGTGGGGGAGAGTGCTCTCACTCTCGTGGTGGGGGAGAGTGCTCTCACTCTCGTGGTGGGGGAGAGTGCTCTCACTCTCATGGTGATGATTTATCATCACCATCTCTCCATGATGATTCTTGGAAATCATCTTGGATTTACCTTGGAAAGGTAAATCATCTCTCCAAGATGATTTACACAGGCTGCAGAGTTGGTCCAAGAAAGGGCTTCTAGATTTCATCACCAGCAAGTGCAAGGTGATGGAAATTGGAACAGGAGTCAGGATATCAAAAGGACGGTACATAATGAAGGGGGAACTACCTCCATGTAACGTGTAGTGAGAGAGACTTGGGACCGGCAGCACCACCAAACCTGACGCCGGCGGCTCATATAAACAACATAACATCAGCAGCATGTTGACCAGACCACACACTAGAAAGTGAAGGGACGACGACGTTTCGGTCCGTCCTGGATCATTCTCAAATCGATCGATTTGAGAATGGTCCGAATGGAACGGACCGAAACGTCGTCGTCCCTTCACCTTCTAGTGTGTGGTGTGGTCAACTTACTTTAACCACGTTATTGTGACTCATCGCTTGCATCAGCAGCATACTCTACACCAGTAAGCCAGGAACCATTATCAGAAACCCTAACATGCAGGCATTCAGATCTCTGTAGACTGAGTCCTTGAGAGCAGTGAAGAGTGCCGTCACACCAGGGAACACTCACCTAACAACACCAACCACAGAATAGTCACCCGTCCTTCTAATGGAGCGTCGCATTTTGACGGGTACTTTTCCTAAGGCCAATAATCGTTGTACTAGAACATGGGAGCCACTCGCGAAGTTTACATAATATCCCGTTTTCTGTTATGTGTCCCCCTGGTTGGTTAGGATAGGGCACGTTAGCACGACAGTTTCTTGACGTTGGGGAACCTTAGTGAGGACGGGCTGCACAAAACACACGAGCAACCTCGAAAAGGTTCAAAAGTTTGAAACGAGACTCATCCCAAAATTGTAAGAATGCAATATTATTTGAATAAAAAAAAGGCTGAAAGAACTAGGAATGACGTTGCTAGAAATGAGGAGGGAGAGGAGACATGATGCAGACATAGAAAATACTTAGGACTGACAATGGAAAACGAAGAAATGTTCGCACTAAATACCAATAGAACATGAGGTCATGGACGGAAACTTGAAAAACAGATTAGTCACAATGTTAGAAAGTTTTCTCTTAACATAAGAGTAGTTGGAAAACAGAACGAACTGAAAGAGCAGTTTGTACAAGAAAACTCAGTTAAAAAAGTTAAAAGATATAATAGGAACTGAGGTCAGGAGTTACAGCATTACACAACAGTCGGGTAGAAAGGCAGGATCTAAGAGCTAAAGCTCGACCCAGAAAGCACTAAATAGGCGAGAATACACACCCTTAAATATAGTGACTCCAGGGCTCCTTCACGTTGTGTAGAGCTTCGCATTCTTTATCCTAAAAACCATTTGGGTTATGAAAGCCAAGTTGCTGCTGATTTGTACATCAGTGGTAATGGAGGCGGGAGCAGCGACAGTGGGAGGGGAGGACGGAAGACAACCTTTACCCCTGTTTCTGTCAACCTGCAGAGTAGGGAAGAAAAGATAAAAGCGGGGACTCAAGAAGACTATCTGTTGCTTTGTTTCTGTCGCAGCTGGGAGGGTAGTGGACGGGGGACTCAAGAAGACTATCTGTAGCTTTGTTTCTGTCGCAGCTGGGAGGGGTAGTGGACAGGGGACTCAACCAGATATTCTGCATCATTGTTTATGTCGCATGTGGAACGGGTAGAAAACGAGAGGAATGGTTTAAACGCGTGTTTAGGTCGGTTCTGGCGGTAAAGGACGAGAGAGAGAAATGCAGAAGGCGCGGACCCCTGTTGCCGCCACAACTCTGCGCGACCACAACCGTGCCATAAACAACATGGCTTTTTACAGAGCAAGAGAGAGAGAGAATTGTATTTACTTTGTTTATTTTTGTTTGTTTCACGACTTTCACGCAGAGTGGAGGAAGCAGAAACAGCAGTAAGGTGCAGCGATAACATTCTTTGTACGTTAGTTTTTCTCATAAATTCCGGTGTGCTTGCTTTCCCTAATGTTCATTCTAACTAAAATATCTCTAAGTCTATGGTCATGTAAACACGCAAATACACACGCGCACGCGCGGACGCACACACACACACACACACACACACACACACACACACACACACACACACACACACACACACACACACACGGCCTGGTAGCCTGGTGGATAGTGCGCAGGACTCGTAATTCTGTGGCGCGGGTTCGATTCTTGCACCAGGCAGAAACAAATGGACAAAGTTTCTTTCACCCTGAATGCCCTTGTTACCTAGCAGTAAATAGCAGTAAGATAAGTAGAGAAAACATTTAAAAACTAAACGTCAGCTAAGGCAGCGACCCAAGATCCTCCTCATCAGTAAGAGAAGACCAGGAGCTGAACCTCAGAACAAGAGTGGTCTTACTCACAGAGACGAACCTCAGAACAAGAGTGGTCTTACTCACAGAGACGAACCTCTGAACAAGAGTGGTCTTACTCACAGAGACGAACCTCAGAACAAGAGTGGTCTTACTCGCAGAGACGAACCTCTGAACAAGAGTGGTCTTACTCACAGAGACGAACCTCAGAACAAGAGTGGTCTTACTCACAGAGACGAACCTCAGAACAAGAGTGGTCTTACTCACAGAGACGAACCTCAGAACAAGAGTGGTCTTACTCATAGAGATGAACCTCAGAACAAGAGTGGTCTTACTCACAGAGACGAACCTCAGAACAAGAGTGGTCTTACTCACAGAGATGAACCTCAGAACAAGAGTGGTCTTACTCACAGAGACGAACCTCAGAACAAGAGTGGTCTTACTCACAGAGACGAACCTCAGAACAAGAGTGGTCTTACTCACAGAGAATGAACAAAATGGGCACCTGGAACTGGACAGGAAATTCCAGGTCTTAACAATAATATAAAGAGAAGTGTCAGAACTAAGATAGTGTCAAAGCAAGCAGTAGTGAAGGACTGGGAGTGCCGGAGAGGACTCAGGACACCGTTGGCACCAGCTGGGGCGGCCTCAGGCTGCGGCACCAGCTGGGGCGGCCTCAGGCTGCGACACCAGCCAAGATCTCACCCTCGACACAGATAAAGGAAGTTGAGGTCCTGTGCTGGCTATTTACCATGATAAATGGAAGATACACAAGAACAAGTATCAAGCTGGAATATACAGAGACAGACTGCCTATTTGTTTTTTTGTCTGACCTCTGTTTATGTGTGTTTCTCTCTCTCTCTCTCTCTCTCTCTCTCTCTCTCTCTCTCTCTCTCTCTCTCTCTCTCTCTCTCTCTCTCTCTCTCTCTCTCTCACTCTCTCTCTCTTTCTCTCTTTCTCTCTTTCTCTCTCTCTCTCTCTCTCTCTCTCTCTCTCTCTCTCTCTCTCTCTCTCTCTCTCTCTCACAGTTCGACTGCTTCTGTCTCTTGATTTCATGCATCTGTGTTTTTTAAATGATCGCATGTGTCCATGTCTTTGTATGGTCACTATTATGACCTATTGTATAACAGATATTACTATATACACTATGACATAACTTAAATGATAAAGTGTACAAATAATACCATTTATATATATATATATATATATATATATATATATATATATATATATATATATATATATATATATATATATATATATATTTATATATATATATATATATGTATGTCGTACCTAGCAGCCAGAACGCACTTCTCGGCCTACTATGCAAGGCCCGATTTGCCTAATAGGAAGAGTGATTTTCTTTATTTTCAATAAATTGCTTCCAATTACTATATTTGAATTATTATTATTATATCATTTAGGAACATCAATTATTGACATAGTTGTGTTAGTTTAGGTTAGGTTATGATAGGTTAGGTTAGGTTAGGTTATGTTAGGTAGGGTTGGTTAGGTTTGGATATATATATACGTTAGTTTTAACTCAAATTGCAAAAAATTAAACCGTACATAATGAAATGGATAGCTTTATCATTTCATAAGAAAAAAAATTTGAAAAATATATAATTCAGCAAAACTTGGCTTATTAGGCAAAAATCGCTAATCTCTGAAAGTTCTTCACCGATTGGTTTGAAATTTTTTTCAAACTGTTCCATTCGCATGCGAATGTGTTTTAATATACCTACTATACAGATGTTACGTCTGTGACTGGTATAAACATGCTGCTTTTTTGAAAAACTGTGTTTTTCCATGTGAGGGAAATCTCCAAAACGTTTTTACCGATTGCTCTGAAAATTTGACACAACGTTGCATTCGAATACACTCATGTTTTTATATACTTACTGTATACATGCCACACCTGTGACAGGTAAAAACATGATTTTTTGTTTAAACAGCCTCATCTGTTGGACGTAAAAGCAACACACGTTATACTAAATATGTTGCTATTTCATTTCAGTGTTTTCAATGTTTCTGATTGCATTGATAAATTGAATTTTCATAGATTTCGAATTATTTTCATATTGATTTCATTATTGTGTGTGACATTACGTTGGAATTGAGCTGTGATGTTTACCATATCGTTCATATCGTGAGTATAGTTTTTGTTTTTTTCATTTATTTCATATCGTTTTTTTAACTGTTCTTATTTTTCAGTGATGGGAACATCAGATTATTTGAGAACGCATCGGACGAGGGAGTAGGGAATGGTGGGGAGGACGAATGACGGGAGTGGGGGATGGTGGAGAGTACGAGGGGATGGGAGAGGAGGTATTGGTGGGGAGGATGAGGGGACAGGGGAGTGGAGAATGGTGGTGAGGACTAGGGGACAAGGGAATGGGTAATAATAATAATAATAATAATAATAATAATAATAATAATAATAATAATAATAATAATAATAATAATAATAATAATAATAATTTATTTGCAAGAAGGTACAATGGGCTGGTGAGGTTACATAAGATTGGTATTTTTACATTAATGCAAAGCCACTAACACGCAAAGCGTTTCGGGTAGATACGTTATAACTTTGTTGTGTTGTACAGCTTGTATATAGCTGTAAGGTACGATAAGTTCACCCCCAGTAAACTGGTGGAGGTTAATGTAGGCTTTTACCATATCTCTAGACGCTATAAAGCTGTGGTTTACTTGAGGCCAAGAGTGCCAACTGTTGAGTGGGGGAAGTGTTCACCACGAGCATTACTTGGGGGTCCATGACAATCACATGTGTCCCTGTGTCTTTCTATGATCATATGTGTCTTTGTATTTACCTATCAATGTCTACGGGGGAGTGAGGTCTAGCATTTTATGCCCCACCTACTGCTTTAAAGCTTCACTATTCTAACAATCAATATCTTTGTCGAACCTTTGCTTAAAGTTGTGGATGGAGGTGGCTTCCACAATTAACTTCTTCTCTTAGTACATTCCGCTTGTTGGTATGAAAACCACGTTCTAATGTTTGCCAGCGTCACATATGCTGCTGATGTCACCCTGCCCGTGTGTGCCTCTGATGTTAGTGATGGAATTATAGCCTCTCCCAAATATATTTCTCTCAGATTCCTGCATTTGCCTTCATTAATGGTGTAGACACTTTCTGGTCCTGTTTATGCCTTCCCCTGTCTTCATTACATTACACTTATTAGGTCTGAACTTCAGTAACCATTTGCTGGTCCACGCGTGGAGTTCGTTAAGCATTTAGTAACATTCTTCAGTCCTCCTCTGCTTTTACATTCCTCATTATTTTGGCATCGTCCGCAAACATTGCCATGTTCGAGCTCACTCTCTCGGGTAGATCATTAACATAACTACGAACAATAGTGGTCCCAGGACTGATCCTTGTTGGACCCCACTTGTTACATTCCTCCAGCTGGAGACCTCACCCCTGAATGTGAGTCTTTGTCTTCTGTCTCTCAGGTACTCCCTCACCCTGTTTAGTATCTTCCCAATTATCCCAGCTTGCTGCTCCATCTTGTACACGACCCTTTCATGAGGAACAGTATCAATTTTTTTTTACAGTCTAGGAAAATGCAATCTACCCATTCTTCTTTTTCGTCATTTTCTAGTAACCTTGTGATAGAACTTGATTAAGTTTGTCAGGCATTCCTTTTCTAAATATATGTTCCCGTTCTGTTACAAACTTTATCTTCACTCTAGATGTTCTTCTATATCAACTTGATTACCTTCTCCAGCAACTTACACGGATCACTGGTCAGTGACACTGGTCTGTAAGTTAGTGCCTCCTGTCTGTCCCCTTTCTTAAACACTGAGACTCCAGTTCCCCTTTTCCACAATTCTGGAAGAATTCCTGTTTCGTGTGTTTTTATTAAAAACCTCAGTTAGTGGGTGACTTAGTGCCTCTGCAGCCACCTTCAGTAGCCGAGGTGATATTAAGTCTCGCTCAATTGAATTAGTTGCATCTAGTTCCTTCAGGTGTTTTTGAATCTCTTCCAACTGTCAATGTCATTCAGTGTTTCCTCTGGCCTTTCATCATTCCGCTCTAGTCTCCACACTGGTGCCATTGTAAAGACCTGAAATCTTTTGTGTAGTTCTTCAAACACTTTCTTGTTAGTTTCCTTAAGACTTTCCCCTTGTCTCTTTAGCCTTATCACGGGGTTTCTTTACTACTGTTTTTCTTCGTATAGCTCTAAAAGATCTTTGATTTTGTCATTTTCATTTCATTTTATGTCATTTCCATTTCATTACATGTCATTACCATTTCATTGTAAGTCATTTCCATTTAATTTTCATTTCCATTCCTTTTGCATATTTTCAAATTGTCTCTCAGCTTTCATCCTGACTCTGGTGTAATCATTTCTGACTCTCTATAGTGCTTCTCTTTTTTTTCTCTGACCCGATCTCTCTCTACTTTGTCCATGCTTTTCTGTCCCCCTGCTGTGATTCTCTGCCCTGCCTGACGAACCAGCGGATCACTTTGCCATTGTCATCCACCTCCTTCTTGAGCGGGATGGACATAGCCGTTGCATCTGCATATTTTTTAGCAATAACTTCCATCATTTCATTTGTCGCCTTCCCTTCCAGTTCCCTCTCCCACTGGACTTCACTCAGAAAATCCCTCACTTTACTGTGGTCTCCATGTTCGTAGTCTCTCATATTCCTTAGCATGTTTCCTGGTCTTTCCAGTTCCTCTAGCTCCATTATGTACTGAAGCACGATAATAGTGGGATCACATGTCCCCTCGGGGCATCTTATTCTCTATCTTCACTACATCTGTCTCATTTTAAGTACACATCAAGTCTAGTGTCGCTGGTGGGTCATCTCCCCTTGCTCTTGTTGGTTCTGTAATAAGTTTCAAGAAGTGCTTATCAGCTGTATTTACCAGTTTTAATCTCCATGTCCCATCACCACCAAGGGAGTCCTTACTAATCCAATCTGTTTATCTGTGATTGAAATCCTCATGTAATAGCATTCTGTCTCTTGCTCCCCTTGACATCATTGCTGCTTTTTCTATTACCTTTAGGCAAGTCTCATTGCATTTGTCATAATCGTCCCTAGGCCTTCTATTGTTTAGTGGAGGATTGTAAATACACGGCTATCACTATCTTCATGTCTCCAAACTTTGTTATTCCTAGTATGTACTCATCCTGATCATATTCCTCTGACACTTTTACTTCCTCAAAGCTTTAGTGTAGTTGTAGCAGTAGGGCTACACCACCACCTCCCCATCTCACCCTGTCTTTCCATATTACTTGATATCCTCATGAGAGGATTACATTTCCTATAACAATTGTTAGTTTCGTTTCTGTTATTGTAATAATATGTGGTTGTTCTTCCATCACCCTTTCATGTAACTCTACCTTCTTATTTGTAATTCCATCTGCGTTTGTGTATATGACCTTAATACTACTCATCTCTACTGGGTTGCTTTGGTTTCTCCCAAGATGGATTCGTTCCAGTTCCATGACCAATTC